GGCCTGCCTTGCAGCCAAGCAACCCCCAGGCCAGGAAGCCTTCGTCCAGCCCCCGACAGGGCTGCCGCCACCACTGCCTGGCGAGGCAATCGGGGACCCCCAAAATGGCCCAGCTCCTGGATTCGGTAAAATTACATCCCGAGGGGAATCCTTCGAGCCTTCAGCGCTCAAACGAATTGCCTGGATCCCATGTTTAGTTGAGCCTCCCTTGAATGCTCATGTCCTCCGCTTGTTTCACCGAGGGTGCAGCCCCGCCGTTCCACATTCACCCAAAAGGATTGAGAGTATGCCCGACGGATTCTATCATGTCGGACCTTGCCTTCGGGAAAAACGGCTTAGTTTGAATCTTCATGGGCCGTGAATCTGTCTTGGTCCTGCAGATTGATTCAAGCAGTGTCACCACAAAGCACCGGCATGTTGGCTTGCCTTTCGGGTGGAAAAAAAGCAATCTGAAGAGACAAAAGCTGGAACTGCGTGCCGGCGGATGAATTGGAGACTCTGCAAGCCAATGATCAATTCTCAAGGCCTCGCCAGCAGGCTGAGGTGGCCTGCAAGCCGGGAACAGCTGACTCTGTTCGGTTTGTGACATGGGCCTGTGCCACTGCTGTGCATATACCGACCATCTGAACGGTGGCAGGGAGTCTTTGTAAAGTCAAGACATCTAAAAGGTTCTGTGCGCTTTGGCTGCGGTTCATGGTGCAAGCCGCCAGAGAGACTGGAGGTGGTTTCATTTTGTGAGTGGGCAATTGGGACAGCTCGCTAGTGCTTTTTTCTGACTCCTGGGGAAAGAGCTCTAAAGGCTCTCAAGGCTTGCTGGCAAATAGAAGTTTCAAAGCATGATGACGGAAAGCGCTTCTTGAAGCGCTGGGAGTTAGTGTACGAAGTTGTGGGGGGGGGGGGGGGGGGTGGGGGGGGGGTGTGGGGGGTGTGGGGGGGGGGGGTAACCTCGTTCCGGGTGATTTGTAGGTCTGGTCAGCTGAAAAATACTCACATTCTTTGGGAGTATCTGTTGGAGCACTTTCTGCCACCGCAAGGCTGGTTTTTGGCATTTTTCCCTGTGTTTTTCGCGCTTTTTCGCCGACGCTGCCTATCATGTCTGACCTTTTCGTCTGTGGCTCTCGCGGGCCAAAAAGCGTGCCAGTTTTACATCATTTTTACTTTGCTTCCGGCCTCGCCGGACTTGGGCGCACAAGGGGTGCCGGGGGATGCAGGGGATGCCGGGGATGCAGGGGATGTCGCTTGTTTTGGAAGTTTTTGTGGGGGTCGGCGATGCAGGGGAGGTCGCAGGAAAAATACTCCCATTTTTTGGGAGTTTTTCTGGAGGCAGGTTTTGTCTCCGCGCGGCTTGTGGTGGCTTTCGGTGGCTTGCCAAGGGACAGCAAGGGAAAAACAAAGCAAGGGAAAGCAAGGGAAAGCAAGGGAAAACAAAGGAAAGCAAGGGACAGCAAAAGAAAGCACGTCATGTTGCATGTCACTTGCATTTGCGAATCTACTGCTGCCTGCGATGATATATTGATAGCTGCTCGAGCAGTCTCAACAAGTTGCACAGTCGAATTTGTGAATGCCCGGTCCAGCTACTTCTCAACACTTGGAGATGTGTGTTTCTTATCTCCAGCTGGGGGGAGCATAAATGCGAACAATAGAGAAAAGGCTGTCTGCCCGAGCGCTCTCCGTTGTTTGCCGGACTGGTTTGCAGGATCTAGATGATCACCAGAGAAGCTTACTAGGCCCTATGGTCTGAAGGGCCTGATGTCTCAGTCACTCAACATGTCTGACAATTCGAACAAGTGAAATGTTTGAAGGGGTCGGGTGAGGCTTCTAATTTAGGTGCATCGGCAATTCAGGGTATCCAGGAGTCAGGTGCTTCCCTCCTGGCCCCTTTTTGTCCCATCTGGGCCCCTCGAACAGCCAAAGAGTTGAACCAGAGCCACAAATTCATTGCGCTTCTTTTTGGCATGCCCTTTGTGCTCTGTGTCGGGTCAATGAACCAATGACACAGCAGCAGGCCACGTATCATGTACATCATCGGGACCGAGCTCCGCTGGTGAGGGGACATCCTCCTTCCACTGATGTGAGGTCACCCAATATTTGAAACATGTGGAAGGATTCGTTTGCTTTGCTTCCCATTTGGCAGTCACGAGTTCAGACTGGCAATCTACTCGTGCACCGCCCCTTTCAGATCCAACGGTTCATTCCCCAAAGCCAATCTGATACCACCCTAGTTGCTGCCTCTGCCGAGAAGAATTTGGCATTCGGCTTGACGACGCTCGAGGCATCCTTGGGCCGGGATGAACCTCCCAACCAGTTTGACCTTCCCTCGGCCGTAAAGTTCCAGTGTAGACCCAAACAAGCGGAGCAACCCGGTGGTCAAGCTGCTGCCACTGAATCTGCCCAAGTCCGCAGCATCACATTCTTGGGAGACACACCTGCCATTCCAACAAAAAACTGGCCTCAGTGGCAAGACAGGCAAGCTGACAAGCTCCATTCCAAACCAAAACAACCATCAGCACAGTGTATGTCAATGCCTGGATGGCCGGCCTGTTCCGACTGAATAGTTGCTTGAATTGCTTGATTCCTCGATTGCTCGCTTGCTTGCTGGGCACATCACATAACAGAGAAGCATACCGCCGCTTTCCTGCCCTTCCTCTTGCAGCACTTGGATAGGAGAGTTTAAAAGGGCCCATGTGCATCTTTCATAGACAACTACCCGGGGTTTGGGTTCCCAAATCAAATAAACTGACATCTACCAATCGAATCCGCCCGCTGGGCTCTCGCCCGCCTGGGCTTGCGCGGCCGTGAGGAGAGGACGCCCGGATGGAGGAGTGAGGGTTTGGCCCCCAACCTGGCAGTCGGCATGCGCACATGTCAGAATGTACAGACATTCCCAGTCCATGTGAACCATCCAATTCTCTCGAAAGATGTTCACCTCGGCGAATGTCAATGGGTACTTTGAGCGAACGGGACTTCATAAGAAACACAAAAGTGATATCGTTCTCCAGTCAGACTGGAACTCCAAGACCAAAGGACCAGCAAGCTCCACAGGGCCTCCACAATGCCAAAATGCAACACCAACACTGCTTTGCTTGGCGGGACCTCATTGGCCCTGGGGGGAGGTTTCATCAGCAGCTAAGGCCAGTGACGGCTAGTGACTGCGAATGCAGCTAGACCAACAAGATAAGACTCCAAGAGCAGCCCTTGCTGCCCCTGCTCGAGTCTCTCTCCCTCTCTCTGTGAGAGAACCTTCACAAACTTTCTTGACAACATGGGGCATCCGTCCACATGAGCCCCTGCCAAAATCATTGGTATCGCAGATTGAAGGATTTGTTCCACTTATCTATATGCGCGGCAAAGCAAGTATTTGCTCGCAATCCTGACAGGACATTGAACACCAGTTGGTAATTAAGAGAAATGGACAGCCATCCTCCTTATTTTGGAATTCCAGTACAATGATTGATGATGAAGCCCATGTCCCTTTTACAATCAGTAGGCAGCCATGACCGTTGCTCTTGGCTCGCATTTTGAAGAGTGCACCGGCAACTTTTCGTCCACTTTGCCTCCATCCCTGGCACGTTCTCTGTCACCAACCTGTCGAAAGAGCAAAGCTGCCACCAAGATACTTGAGCCGTGCACTTCACAGCTCGACAATATTTACATATTGTTAAACAAGCCGCCACGCAAGATCCGGGCAGCCTCTACGTCCAGGTCCAACACCGAGTTGCCATCAGCTGTGAGCGGCCTGCCAGCCAGACGCTTCTTGTCACTCAAAATACGGGACCGCAAAAGATGCGCGGTACTTTTGGCTTGCCCTTTGACATGATCAGGCAGGGTTGCTCGAGTGAACCTCGAAACAAGCCAAGCGTCCGCCTGCAAGCCCCCAAACCCCGCCTCCGAAACTGTGATAGCGAACCCCGGCCACCCACCTGCCAGAACAGGGCTATGGTCGGCGCCCATGAAGCAAACGGGTATCACATGGAACCAATGTTGGTTCCGGAAGGGCAATCAAGGTTGCTCCGTCAGAATTATCATGAGGCAGACGGTGTTCCTGTCGAAACCAATGCTATCAGCTTTGCTCAACAAGAATGGAGCAGCAATTAAAACCCAGCAGGGCCTGGCTCTGCCAACCGATTTACGGAGGCTTGTACAGGCCCTCTGTATACGTGCTACCAGGGAGTACAATCAAATGGATCGGCAGGAACCGATTTTGGACGCTGCGCAGCTGGATTGCGATGCCAACTCGAGTTGCATGAATAATGCCGCGGTTGCCACCCCTCCGAAAGGCAATACCTTGAACATCTGATGTTTCCACCACCACCCCCCCAAGACGCTACCCCTGAGGAAAAAACAATAGCCAAGGGATTAGTGATGAAACAAACCACTGCTGGTCTGGGTGCTCCCACCCCCCAAATGTATCCAAATTCTGCTCCCTCCAACACGCGTGTTGGAGTCTGGCTAATTCAGCCGATACAAGTGAGCGCCTCCATGCTGGACAGTCAGCTCAGTCCATGGCGGGTGCACGACGTGCTCCCATGTTGTCCACTTCTTTGATGCTAGCATGAAACCTAACTGTCCAGTAGCTCCATTACCTGCTGTTTTTCAAACCACTGGGACCATTCTGGCCAAACATGTGGAAGCAGCAAATGTACACCTTCTTAGTATCTTCACGGAATATGCAAAGAACTCTCAAGAAAAACTCGGGAGACTCTTTGAGATTGCAACGAGGTGATGTATTTCTTGCACATGTCAATCTGCCGATGAGCTAAGTAGCAGCTTAGCAGGTTTGTGAGCAACAGGAAACTCCAGGAGATTGCTGACCTTCACGGCGATCCCTTCAAACGAAGCAGCTTTTCCACTGAATGCCTTGCTTGCTACACACTTTGCGGCAAGTGACTAAATTGAGGGTGTGCCTTGCGCTAACAGTGGGCAAAGGGGCCAAATGGCTTGCCGAACGCACCTACTGAATCTACTTGATCTTGTCTGGGCTGCACCCCCCGGTGCAAGGATCAACCTTCACTAGCCGGAGGGTCACTGGGCGGAACTGGAGCAGGTTCAGTCGGTGCTGGTGCAGTGGGCAAAGGTACTGCAATCAACTTCGCCTGGCACATTCCAATTTCGCAACACGAGCTGGTACGCCTGCTTCAAGTGATGGCCCATCTAACAACCCTGACACCTTCAATGATGATGTGGCCATGGGTCAAAATCCCGTACCCCCAGTGAACATCCCAATCCCCACTAAAGTAGACTAAAACGGGTGGTGCCCCTACCCCAACATGGTACCATTGGTTTTGACCCACAGCCATGTGCCGTCGTGTATCCAAGCATGCCGGGAGGGCGACATTATTTCTTTCTTCCGTGCGTTGCAGCACAGTTGTCTCTTCCAGGGATGGCGGCTGAACGAACTCAGGTGTCCCAAGATTGGCAGAATCAAATCATACTAATCTCACAGCAAGGCATTGCGTACTGCTTCACGACATGCCTACAAGGCCCGGGCTCCACTGAGGGCCAGAACAATGACGAAGCCAATGGACTGGCGAATCGTGGAGTTGCAAACTTGTTACAAAGGCGTGCATCAACCTTACGCAAATATCAAGAGACGGCCAGCGCCACAGGTGAAACAGGCCAGTCCGCACAATGGCGATGGCCACAGTAACATTGGCAAAGTCTGGCATTGCCACCGGCGTGTTGTTCACCTTCATTCCAGGCTCACAGTGTGGCTCGGTGCTTGACATGCGGCAAGCACCCAGAATCCTTTGCGAGAACATCCTGAACGACCTGAAAGCGCCCCTGCATGCCACTCTACCTATAGCAATAAACAATTCCCGCAATGTGTCTACCACACCTTGGTGCGATGTTGCAGCTGAAGCGGGAGAAGCCATATGAACAACTACAGACTAGATTGGGGCGTGGGCTATGCAAAGCCAAAGTGAAGGGCAAAGGGTTGCCCATCCCAAGGTAGCAAATTCGAAGACCTGATTGATGCCTTTTTCAGGTGTTCAGCAGCAGGTTGTCTCTCTTCAGCCACCCTTCCAGAAAATGTAGCTGAAGTGAGGCAAAGATCCAGAATCTGTCCACAATGAAGGGCAGATCAAGCTGGCATGACATGCAGGCAAGGCCTTGTACTCAAAGTTGTTCATCCCACGAGCAAAGAAGGGCAGGAGCTGGCGGAACATGGCATTTTGTAACAGCTCAGCAAAACCAGTCTCGGATCAACCACATTGCCGAACAGCAATAGATTGTTGAGGGAAGTCTTGCATAACTTGCGCATGATTCACTCTCCCAGTTGTTGTATTCTGCGGCAAGCCTTGCCTTCTCCGACAGCTTGGGAATAGCCGTGTCGTTCTGACAGGTGAGAGCCAGCCGCAGGAACTTTCTCATTATGAGCTGTGACCTGCGTCCTGGGCAACCTAGCCTCACCGTGCATGGAAGAAACAATCCACCCATGCCTCGCTGAGGATGCGGTACATGTCAGCGGTCACCGAGTCATTGAAGCGATTCTTAAACTGCCGGCAGAATGGAATCCAGCAGGGGCTGATGACAAGGAACAGCAAAAACCGTGGATCCACCATAGGGTGCCGGTGGGCAGCGGTGTCAAACTTCAGCAAAGTCCAGATGATTCAAATCGTAGAAGAATCATGCGGAACCACAGCAGCTTTGTTAAATGATATCCACCTACTGGTTTCCACCAGCAACTCATTTGCGCCTCACACACACACACACACACACACGCATGCACACACACGCATGCACACGGCCACACCTCTCTCTCTTTCTCTCTCTCCCCTCTCTCTGGCCCTTGAAAACACGAATCGTTGCTAGAGCCCCTTGCACGGCGTGATGCCAGCACTTCCATTTAGTTGAACCCTTCAACGGTCATGAAACTATTGCTAGAGGCTTAAGCACCTTGAAGTCAGACCCAGGTGCACGCATCTTTTTAAGGGTAGCCTCTTTGGCGTTGTGTAAAACACAGAAGGGAAGCCACCAATTCAGGGTTCCAAAAGCCCGCAGGCGCCTCGTCCTCCCGCAGCTCCTGGGGCTTTTCCAGAAGCCTCGAGACTCAAGCGCCATGAAACTTGGCGTGTGACAACCGGTGGGAGCTACCCAAAAGAAACCGGCCGACAGAGTTTCCAAGAGGTCTCGCACCTCTGCTGGTCTAGTCGATCCACTCCAGCAGCGTCATACCCGCGCTTCAGGTCGGGAAGAACTCAGCTGCTTGCACTCCCGAGCGCTGAGAGAGAAGCTGCTACACTTGGCGCAGAGCCCTCACCAACCAGCGTATCCTCAGAGATTTGCAACTACAAAGCAAGAGTGTACGGCAAAGGTGGCAATGCAAGGCTCTGCAAATTGTCGCAACTGAGCTTGTGGCAATAATTTGACTCTGCTCTACTCGTCTCCAAAATGCGCTGAAGGTTTCAAAGGCCTCAAATCCTCAAGAGGTCAAACCAGTCCGGTGACTTGGCATTTGTCAAATGTCAAATGGGGATGCGAAACTAAGCTCGGCTCCCCTGCAAAGGTACAACAAAAATACAAGGCATGGTAAAGGCCGTACAGGGGCGTGCTGACTCTCAGCCTGCTGCATGGTCAGATGTTAACTGGAGGGACCGCAACAAAGTGCTACAAACAAAACAAACTAGTCATGATCAAACCAGGTATCAAACAGGTCTACCCAAAACCCACGGCAAAGAAACAAAAGGGAACTGCTTGTTGCATTCATTTCTGGTTGGAGACTGTCCCTGACTATCCTCCATCTACCCATTGAATTTGATTCAGGCTCGAATGCAGGAATCAGGGTTGTCCATATTTACATTCCTTAAAACCGACTTGTCCGAAGGGTGGCATTCAAGAATCAACCTTCTGATTAACATCATGATGTGGAACTTTGGAAAAATGCAGGGCAAGCGCATAGCCCTCGGCAAGTGCATAGCCCTCGGCCAGCGGTGCCCCGAGACGCCCGCGTTCTTCTTCGAGCTCCTTTGGCCAAATCCTGCAAAGCGAACATCAGCCCAAAAAGAGGCAACCAACTTTGGGCACTTGGAAGGGTCCCATGTCATTTTCGTTTAGATTTCAGGCGAAAGAGCCGCAGCGAGCCCTTCTTTTCCGCTTGCGCGCTTTCGGAGCTCACCCAGAGAGTGCCTGTGCAGGGCCATCTCTTTTTGCCATCTACTCGTTTGCTCTTGGTGCTTTTGCGACCCCTGCTACATGCCAGCTCAAGAGCCGCAAAAAAAGGAACATGAAACAGCGAGCCTTCTTGGACACGCCCTCCGTGGCCTTGACCTCCTCAATAACCATCGCCCTCCTTCGAAGGTATACGCGATGCCTAGGCCAAAGCAAAACCCGAGAGATTCGATGGGTGAAGTCAAGTGCTGGGCAATCCCACGCAAAGTGCTTGGCTTCCGACCATCTTTTGAACCACCATGAGATTGCTTTCCATTTCGGGAGGCGTCGGCTTTTGGTCTTGTGTCTGAGCCTTCAGCAAACTCACACACACACAGGTTACCACTACCCACCCACACACCCGCCCAGCACACACACACACACACCACTACCCACCCAGCACACACCAACAAAAGAAGAGTTGCAAGAGCAGTATGTTGAGCCAATGACCGTAAAATCTCGTCCAGATTCAACTCATCCAAAAGGCCAGCCTGCTCCTGGCATACTCACCGCATCAGGGGGCTCCAGCTCAAGCATCAAATTGTACAACGCTCAACCCCATACATGAACACAGCTATGGCTCGGTAAACAATGAATTTCGAATCATGCACACCAAAGCCATGCCGGCAGGGCATCGATATATGGAAAGTTGCCGCGCTTGCTAGCCTCTTCTCTGCCAGTGCGTCTCCTGGAATCCACCACAAAATGAGAACAACCTGTGCCTCTGACTGAGCAACAAGAACAATGGCCAACATCAACGGCGATAAGCAGTTATCACCAAAACCCAAAGCCTCCAAAGAGCTCAAACAGGAAGCCATATTTTGGTTGGCCCCCAAAGGACTCAAATCCAGGGGATCCTTTTTGGAATACATTACCCAACCCTGGGTCCAAGTCCCTTTAGGGGTAAGAAAGAAATGGAGCCCTGATCTCGAGAATCTCAAGCTTGGGCAGCCACCTGGCACCGATTTGGCCGCCGTCCCACACGATCTCCTGAAGTGTACATGACATGAAAAAACTCGGCAAGCCGCATCCCAGGCAAATCTGGCATGAACTGCAAGGAGGTGATTGTGCGTGGTCCGTTCAAGGAGTGCGCGGCAGTTACGCATCATCACAACAAGATCCAAGATTTTATCCGGTTTAAGAATCATTGTCCGTCATCTTACGAAAACATGCTGCTCCAAGTAAGTGGCTGCAAAAGGTGCCCAACTGCGGAGTGTTCCTCAAAGCAAGGATGCGCAAAACAAAACGGAGGATTCCGGGTGTTGTTGTTGTTCCTGCTGCTGCCACTCAGGTTGTTGTTGCTCTTGCTATTGTTGTTGCTGATGTTGTTGCGGCGGCGGTGGTGGTTGTTGTGGTTGTGGTTGTTGCGGTTGTTGTGGTTGTTGTTGGTGTTGTTGGCGTTGTTGGTGTTGTTGTTGGTGGTGGTGTTGTTGGTGTTCGTGTTGTTGTTGTCGTCGTTGCCGATGTCGTGACGTTGTGTTATGGCTGTCCTTGTCAAAGTTGCTAGTGTTGTTGCTGTTGGTGTTGGTGTTGGTGTTAGCGTTGGCGTTGGCGTTGGCGTTGCTGTTGTTGTGGTGGTGGTGGTGGTGGTGGTTGTTGTTCTGGTCGTTGTTGCGGTGGCTGTTATTGTTGTTGTTGTGGTTGTTGCGGTTGTGGTTGCGGTTGTGGTTGTTATTGTTGTTCTTGTGATTGTTGCTGTTGTTGTTGTGGTTGTTGCGGCTGTGGTCGTGGTTGTTGCGGCTGTTGTGGTTGTGGTGGTTGCGGCGGCGGTCGTTGCGGCGGTGGCGGTGGTTGTGGTTGTGGTTGGTTGCGGTTGTGGTTGTGCGTGGTTGCGGTTGTGCGGTTGTGGTTGCGCGGTTGTGGTTGCGCGGTTGTGGTTGTGTGGTTGCGGTTGTGTGGTTGCGGTTGTGCGGTTGTGGTTGTGCGGTTGTGGTTGTGTGGTTGTGGTTGTGTGGTTGTGTGGTTGTGGTGTGTGGTTGTGGTTGTGGTTGTGTGGTTGGGCGGTTGTGGTTGTGTGGTTGTGGTTGTGCGGTTGTGGTTGCGGTTGCGGTTGTGGTTGCGGTTGTCGTTGTCGTTGTTGTTGTTGTTGTTGGTTGTTATTGTTGTGGTTGTTGGTTGTTGGTTGTTGGTTGTCGGTTGTTGGTTGTTGGTTGTTGGTTGTTGGTTGTTCTTGTTCTTGTTTTTGTGTTTTTGTTGATTTTGTTGCTGCTGCTGCTGCTGCTGCTGGTTGTTGTTGTTGTTGTTGTTGTTGTTGTTGTTGTTGTTGTTGTTGTTGTTGTTGTTGTTGTTGTTGTTGTTGTTGCTGTTGCTGTTGCTGTTGCTGTTGCTGTTGCTGTTGCTGTTGCTGTTGCTGTTGCTGTTGCTGTTGCTGTTGTTGTTGTTGTTGTTGTTGTTGTTGTTGTTGTTGTTGTTGTTGTTGTTGTTGTTGTTGTTGTTGTTGTTGTTGTTGTTGTTGTTGTTGTTGTTGTTGTTGTTGATGCTGTTGCTGTTGTTGTTGCTGGGTGCTGGTATGCTGCTGCTGCTGCTGCTGCTGCTGCTGCTGCTGCTGCTGCTGCTGCTGCTGCTGCTGCTGTTGTTGTTGTTGTTGTTGTTGTTGTTGTTGTTGTTGTTGTTGTTGTTGTTGTTGTTGTTGCTGTTGCTGTTGCTGTTGTTGCTCTTGGTGTTGTTGTTGGGTGGTGGGGCGTAGCGGTGCGGTGGTGGGGTGGGTGGTGGGTGGGGTGGTGGGGGTGGGGTGCCGGTGGGCGTCGGTTGGGGCGGGGTGGGTGCGGGTGCGGGGTGTGTGGGTGGGGTATGGGTGTGGGGTGTGGTGTGGGGGTGGGGTTTGGTGTTGGGTTGGGTAGGGTGGGGTGGTGTGGGGTCGGGTCGGTGGGGTTGGGTGAGGCGGGGCGAGGCGGCAAGGGCGGGGCGGGAAACTTGCGGGAAGCTCGGGAAAACCGCAGCGAGACTTGCGGGAAACCATGGGAAATGCGCGAACAACCCGTCGGACGGATGTGCTGGAAACCCATGCAAAAAAACCTTTGCATGAAAAGGCGCGATGGTTGGAAACCCAAGAGGTGTTTTCTTCCCCATGGGTGCCCGCAGCCCACTCAAATGAATGGAGACCTTCATCACTGTTACCTGTGCACCGTGAATCAGCAGTGGCAGTGGTGCAGCGATTTCTGGTGTTCAAATAATTCTGGGAACACTCCCTCCGTGACTGACAGGGCCATCCCTTTCTACCAGCAAGCGCATTGCACTGACGCCATCAACGGACAACAAAAGGAGATCCAAGGATGAGGGCTCTCCCATGGGCCGTGCGCCCTTTGCTCCGCTCCAGCTAAACATGAGAGTGTCTTCATATTGGACACTCAGGGTTTGTTTCCTGTCCTTCTCCTCACAGAGCTCGAACAATCTCCGAACCTGGAATTGCCCATTGCCGCAAGGCAACAAGCCGTGCAGGTGGCACCTTGAAGTTGTTGCTTGGGCTCGCAAGGACCTCGTAGGGCTCCTGGCAAAAGACTCAGGCTTCCTCAGACCAAAACCATGGCCGCTTGTTGGAGGCCTGCTAACTGCAAAGCCCAGCAAGTGCCAATTCGGCAGAGTACATGGAGAATGGTTTCTCATAAAGTTGAAGAACATCCTGTTCAATTGTCCCCCTGGGCTCTTATTCTGCTCAGTCCTGTGAGCTTGTTTCCTTTCTTTCCTTTATCACCTTCTCAAGCTCATCCAGTATATGTCGTGGCGCCTGGCTGCGAAAATTGGTCGCGCCCCTCTTCTCATCATGCTATCTCAAATTCTCAACCATCTCTGTGCAGGCAGGTAGCAGCATCCTCCCATGCTGTCTCCTGGTGGGCGTCGGCTCAGATCGATGCGCTGGCTAATAACTTGCTTTCCTAAAAGGAACCCCAGGCCTTTTCTTGACAACCCAGAACCAAAGAATGACTCAAATGTAACCCACCCGGATTCAAGCAACTCTAACAAAAACTAGAACTCTGAATCCACTTGCCCTTGCCTGGCGCGGATTGCCGGACTCGGGCACATTGAACCAGGCCGCCTCAAACAGTACCAGTGTCAATGTGTGGAGTTGGGTTGGCAAGTTGTGATCTTCCCTCCAATTCCCCACATGGGAAGATTGGGAGGGCCTGGTTTCTTTTGGTGGAATTGGAACCTCGAGCCCACCTCCAGCTTGCCAAGGCCCGTCAAGGAGAAGGAACTGCGGCGCCCAGCATCTAGGCCTCAGGTGGCTTGGGTTCGCCTGCGCGCAATCTGCGGTCTGGGACTGTGACAACGGAGAATGATGTCACTCGCCGTCCCTTCCCTGCACATCATCGCTGGCCTCCCATGCCATGCGATGCCACTCACGGCGGCCCAAGCAACCAGCCTCAAGTAGGAAGCCTGATTTCTTCCTTGGCTCGTTGTTCGACTCAGCAGTTACACTCTCAATCATGTACATCAAGCATGAACAAACTACAGTACAAGTTTGGAAACACAGTTTCCACGATACATGAACGATGAACGAAGCCCGAGCACGGGAAGGCACTGGTAACCGCCAAGTGTCTGTACACCTTCAGCGACGAGTTTGCCCCGGCGCCATCTTTGTAAGCATCTGCACCGGCCGCCTTCCAGCTGGTGGCACCCAAGGTAGCAACTCGGAACAGATCTGTGTGAAGAATCAACATGGGCAACTGCGTCTATTCGTGGTTGGACCTGCCCCCTACAACATCCTACATACCTTCATCTACCCAAGTTTTGGTTGTGGCTTTGTTTCTTGCCCCTGCAATCAAAAAAACTGGCGGCGACATGGCAACTCTTCCCCCCCCAAAGCCCGAAAAAGCACCATTCATGGCTATCGAAACCAAGCGTGTACCAGGACCTATGATCACGATCTTGGCCTTTGAGACAACGGTACGGCAGATCTGTGGCGTTTGACTCTATTAAGAAAAAAAAAACGCTGGTCATCCTCTTAGTTGCCCCTTTCGCAACAGCCCCGCCTTGCTGGGCTCCCGAAGATGCAGCTTCCAGGGCGACGGTACGGCTTCCCAATAGTCTCCCTGAACGTGGCACTCTCCCTCTGTTCTGACGATGGCTGTGTGCTCAAGCTAGCTGGGCCCTTCTGGGAATCCTAGCTTGCCACGTCTTCTGGTTTGGCGTTCAGTTTGCAAAAGCTCAGAGCGTTCCATGTCTCGCTCCCATTTCATCGCAACAGAAAGTTCTGCTCTCAGGGCATAAACACAATTGAGGACACCCTATGCTGAAGATACAGTCGGCGTCATGTCTTCCGGAATCTTGTCCAGTGTAGGAATTACTCTGACGTTGCATCAAACATGCTTTGTCTCCCCAAACGGCAGCTTTTTTGGTCTTCGTTGGGTCAGCGACTCTGAGTTTGATGCACCACAAGCAAACGCGCCAAACCCAGAGTTCAAAATTGAATGCCATCACAAGCTCATGGATTACATCCCTAGGTGTAGTGGCTTGTGGTATTGGTGGCGCAAAAGAATCTCTGTGTGTAATGACCCCAATGCCGATGCTTTAATGTTTTGCAGTGGAAACTATGGTCAACAGTAAAAGAATTCCGGGTCATTCACAATAGTTCGCAGGGCCGGTGTCCTCTGCAATTTGACTCTGCGCCTGGATGTGCGGCCCTGCTCTGTCAACCTGATTGCCACCACTTCGGGGCCTCAGCACGCCAAAGGCATGAGCGGATCTGTGCTGGACCAGGGGCTTGCTGGAAACTTGCTGAACAAATGGCTGCCATTTAAACTTAAACACTGCACGGGCAAACAACCAGAGTGGTCCTTGCCGCGCCCGTTCTGACTGGGACTGTACCCTGGCCCTAGCCGTGGCGCCCCTTTGGAAATGCCGCCCCACGAAACCTGGAAATGCGGCGATTTGAGAAGTCTGAGATCCGTACCTCCAGCAGCGCTTGAAAAAGCGCTTCCATCGAGATTTGAAGATGTCCCGCGGAAGCGGCTTCCATAAGCCTGTGCCAAGCCACTCCCGAACAGAAAGCAGTTGGAGAGACAGGGCGCACCCATATGCCCCTCCGCGCGGCATGATGGCAAAGTTGAAGGAAGCAAGTGGATCTTCACAGCAAATGTCTTTGGGTCAGGCATGGGCTGGTTTGGGCATTCTTGGCAGCCTCTCAGACTCTGGAGTGCTGTTCCCCACTGTTTCTGATGTCTTGCTCTCAGCTTGAGCCCAGAAGCCGCGCATCATATCTTCACAAAGATTTGAGAAGCTTTGTGACTGCAAGTCCCATCTCACTCGAGAGAACTGGTAAGATATGTACACGTTCAGGCTACTGAGCTACTGGGTGCACCACGACTGTACAGCACTAGCACTGGCTATGCCCCATCAGCCCATCTGCCTGACCTCTCAAAAGCTGCCAAGCCAAAATACACTCTACAAAGCTACAAAGGGTTGGTTTCGTGTTGGTTTCCCTCAGAGACCCCAAAACAGGGTCCGGCATGAATTCCCATTTTAGACACATACCTACACGAGTACACACATGCAGAGACCAAGCCTGCCCGGTGACCATTCCTCCTTGATTCTCAAAGGAGGAGCCGTCGCGGCAAATGACCTCGGCTGTTCCGACTGCAAAGTGAAAGTGGCCTAGGCCGAAATGGTCAAACATCTTCAGGGCTCACATTTCAACATGCCGCAGACTCTTCTCGGCCCAAGCCTTTGCTGCGCCAGTGGCCGAGCCAGTGAGCATGCCTCCGCGGAGCAGCACTCTGGAGCCCATCAAGTGGGGTCCTCGCCGAAGGGAAGGTGGAGTTCTTCTATGCGAAAGACGATGCTGGAATCAGTTAACTTGCATCCCCGCAAAAGCGACAAATCATGACTGCTTCTTTGGGGACCGCCATGGACCGCCCCTAAGAAACCAGGATCCAACAGACAGGCCCAATAGTTTTGGCAACTGGGCTGAAACGAGCCCGGGGGAAGGTAACGAGGCCTGTGACCATGCAGTTGTCGAGGACCAGGTCAGAGTTGACCAGGCGCACAGCCCCCGTGATCATCCTGATTGCTAATGCTTAGCCGCGGCAGGTGGGTGTTGTATTCCCAAGGCACATTTCTGCCGAATGTCTAGAACCCGGCATCCCGGTTTGAACGGACTTCAAGCAAAGCCAAACATTACGGGGCCCGGCTGGTTTTTTCACTTTGCCCAATGGGGAACCCTCACCTTCCATGGCGTGGTTCCTTCTGGCTTTCCTTACATGCGAAGAGGATAGACAGCAGCAACTACTTTCAGATACCAAGATCCTGGCCATTGCGTCAGGTGACGACGTTGGCTATGCATCTCCAGAGGATGCACGTGGAAGCCGCCAACCTAGCCGTGGACATGATAGCCGAAAATCGGCCATGGCAAAATTAGGGACGCTTGCGATAGTTGGTCTAAGAGTCTTGTGTGTCATGCGAACACGAATCGCTAGGCTCTCGCGCACACGCGACACACACACACACACACGCACACACGCACACGCACACCCACACACACACACACACACACCCACGCACACACACACACGCACACACAAACACACACACACAGACAGACAGACAGACAGACAGACAGACAGACAGACAGACAGACAGACAGACAGACACACACAGACACACACAGACACACACACACACACACACACACACACACACACACACACACACACACACACACACACACACACACACACACACACACACACACACACACACTTGTGTCGTCAGCATGAAACACACACACACACACACAAAAAAAAAAAAACATGCACGCACGCATGCACGCACGCACGCGCGCGCGCACACACACACGCACACGCACACGCACACGCACACGCGCACGCACACGCACACGCACACGGACACGCACACGCGCACGCACACGCGCACGCACACGCGCACGCACACGCGCACGCACAGGCCCAGGCACAGGCACAGGCACACTCACACACACACACACGCACACGCACACGCACACGCACACACACACACAAACACAAACACAAACACACACACACACAGACACACACACACACAGACACACACTGGCGCGTACGTGTTTGCAACCTGGGTGGCACTTTGCCGGGGAAAAGTGGAGGACTCCAGTGGAGGACCCACATTTTTGATTGCAACCCGCTCGCAGGTTGGGCCTCGCTGGGAATGGCATCAGACCAGTGCGCGCCAGGCCTTAGATGTGACTCGGGATGACCAACACTTGACCTGCACCCCGAAATTCGCGTTGGACTTTGGGCGCCCATTCGGTTTACCGTTTGCCCAAACAAGCCCGATACCCAACCAAAAGCGCAACAAACCCCCCACGAATGGCCGGTTTAGATTTGAGGAAGCAACCAAACAGGGTCAGCCTTCGGCATGCAGCCTCGACACACCTCTCTGCGTGAGCCATGAGCATGTGCCTCTGGCTGCTGCTGATGCTGTTGATGCCGCGGATGCAAATGCTGTTGCAGCCGCTGATGCATCTGATGCAAATTCTGTTGCAACTGGTGCACATGCTGCTGCACCTGCTGGTGCTGGCTGTGGAAATTCTGATGCAACTGACTCGAGCGTGCTTGCAGTTGCTGGAATGACTGCTGCATCTGTCGATGTGCATGCTGGCAGTGCTGATGTATATGTTGGCTAATCTGATGATGGAACGGTGGAACCTGCGCAAATTGCTGGTGATAGTTCTGCTGATGATGATGCTGCGGATGATGATGATGATGCTGCTGCTGATCCAAGTGCCTCTCATGTGAATGCAGCTGCTCGTTGTGGATCTGGTGGTGCCAGCGGTTGTGCATTTCCTGATGCAGCCGTGCGACTTCCTCGACAGTTTGGCCTGGTGCAGGGGTCGCGTCTGCCATTGCCACGTCTGCCGCGTCTGCCGCGTCTGCCGCGTCTGCCGCGTCGCATCTGGTGGATGCCGTCGAATCTGCGGAGCGGGGTGACGGCGGTGACGGCGAGTCGGAAGGCGACGGAGCCGCGGCGCTCTGCACTGCCGCGCTCTCTCGAAGCTCCAGTCTCACCACGTCGCCTGCCAGCGCCTGGCTCAAAGTCTCCGGCGTCAGGGCATGTGCTGCCCCGTCCAGCACCACCAGGGCCTCTCCCTCATATCCACCCGGAAGGTGCTGCAACTTCTGCAGAATGAGGTCCAGTGTAGGAGTTTGTGTGTCCATTCGGAAGCGGAACATCTCCCCGCCCTTCTTGATCTTCAACACTGCCATGGTGAAAGCTCCCGGCCTTACGCCTATGCTATCTGTAGGGATATCGAGCCAAAGAACTGCCAAACTCATAGCAAGCAAAGAATCTCGCAACTAAGCCAGAAAAAGCACATGCCGGATTCCTGGACCAGTCTCGTCGCATGATCTTCGAAACTGCTCGTCGACCTGCATCTTTCTCCTCAGGCTGACTTGTATCAAGCATAAGCCACAGCGCACAGCGCATCTTCCTGCTCAATCATTCTGCATGATGCGAAGGAAATCACTGCAAGGAACATGGAGCAACCATAGAAAAACGGTGTCAGTGCGTCTGAGCAGGCCCCTTCAAGTCACCGATGTCTAACGAGCCGCCAGCGCTGAAATCTCAAAGATGTTCAGGTCCTTCCAGTACACCTGCGCAAGATGTTGCTGTCACAACCTCCTGGCACTGCAGGCTGCGAAGCATAGGCATCTTAAACAGCACAGACTGAGCCTGGCCTTGACAGGACCTCTGAACCTGCTAAAGACGTAAAGGGACAGTACAAGCGTCACTGCATTTCCCTTCAAAAGTTGATGGTGGATTCCAATGAAACTGCCCCCTTGTGGAGGTGCAGAACAGGGGGATTGAGGGACGCCCTGTAGGATGGGGAAGTGTGGCCGAAGCCTTCTGGCAACAGGCCTGCCTCAGCAGAAATCAAGAGCCGGTCCAGCATGCCCTCAGTCCGTTCCATGGACATCCAAGGCTCCCCATCTTCCAAAGTGACTGTTCCTCCAAATGGGGAAACTTGTCCCTGCAATCTGTATCCAAATATCATGGTTGCTCTGGAACCACACTCTGTCATGGCTGCTGATGAGTTGATGAGCTGTAAGAATCAAAGGCCGGCACTTTGGTCTCTAGTCTGTCCAAGAGGTCTACAACATTGCGGTACTCCTGGGCCTGGTGCAAAGCAGCTGTGCAAACGGGAGGTTGCCAAGACTGGCGAGGGAGTCTTCAAAGGAGGTCTTAGAAGGATTCATGATTTTGACACCCACCCAAATAGCCGTGTCCAGAAATTGTGGAATCCTTTTTGGATGGTGAAAGGAAGAAACCAGTCCGGAAATGCCAATGCCCGGCGGGTCTTTGAGACGAGAGTCCCCGTTGCTTTTTACTGGTCCGGGAGCCCGCCTCAACAAGGGCCTTGAGCTTGGGGTTGATGTACCTACACAGCTCGCAGCTGCCAGCGCCACTGAAAATGTGGGAACCCCTCACATGGATGGTTTCATATGGCTTCCCTTTGCATTGTTTTGTGGATGGATGAGGCCGGAGAGTCATGTTCTCGGCGGACCCTCTATATCTCTCGCCCTTCTTGAGCTTGGTGACCTTCACGGATGGAGGCGGCACCTGGACGAGCTCTCACTTCAGAGTTACCCTGCTTGAGGTGACTTGTGAGTCGGAACTCAAAGGCAAACCAACCATGGGGAATGACCCGATTTGGCATTCTGGTGATAAATTGAGAGAGTAAAGAGAGCCTCTCACTTTGGCATGACAGCGAATTCTTCTTTTTTGCTTGGGGAAAGATCCCCGTCATCAGAAGGCTTTCCGGGCATACAAGATAGACGTGCTTCCAGCTATCAAGCATCTATCTGCTGGAAAGAAGCGTCCACTGTTTACAGTAACTCCTTACCGTTGCACAACATAGAAAATAAGTCTCTCGTCTTCCTCAACCGCAAGTCACTTGTTTCGCCAGCTTCATGGCCACATTTCCTGTCGCTGCTCCCGAGGCAGTGGCCCTTTTCGTCAATGCTGAACCGGTCTTCTTCTTGATCGCCTTGGCCAGTGAGGTTCGGAAACAGACATTTGCCTCCGTAGGTCGGGGCAGCGAGTCCACACTTCGGTGCACGCACACACAAGCCACGGACGAAACTATCCGTTCCGCCAGAAGCATCGGGGAATTGGGTGCCGGCCCCCATTTTGTGCGGAAACTGGGACCGCAGACTAGCAGTATTATCGTCAGTTGTTCAAATCCATGCGCATGGCCTGATACTTAAGTCCGCCGACAACAGACGGCGTGTTGGACATAAAAAATGCTCCTTACCTCTTTACCTGTTACCCCTCCCCTAACCCCCCCCCAGGGGCACCATTTCAGACTACTGCGGGGGGGGGGGGGTCCACGTACCACGCGGTGATAACTCTTTCTCGGGGGGAACAGGCCCTAAGGGGCAATGGGGGGACAGGATCTCAAACGGGAAAGGGGGAAAAAGACTTTGGGAAGAGAAGGGTGGAGATCTTGGGGGGAAAGGCCTTAGGGGGGAAACGGGGGAAAGGATCTTAAGCGGGAAAGGGGGGAAAAGATCTTAGGGAGGCAAAGGGAGACGAACTCAGGGAAAAGGACTTAGGGAGGAAAGGGGGGGAAAGATCTTTGGGAGGAAAAGGGAGAAAAACTAAAGTGTGGGAAAAGGCCTTAGAAGGAAAAGGGGGGAGATAAATAATCTCAACAGGGAACTGGGGGGGGAAAGATCTTAGGGAGGAAAGGCAGAAGATCTGGGGCAAAAAGGCCTTAGGGGGGAAAGGGGAGAAATGATCTCAACAGGGAAAGGGGTGGAAAAGATCTTAGGGAGGAAAGGGAGAAGATCTGGGGAAAAAAAGGCCAACAGGGAAAGGGGGGAAAGGATCTCAACAGGGAAAGGGTGGAAAAGATCTTAGGGAGGAAAGGGGGGGGGGGAAGATCTTAGGGAGGAAAGGGAGAAGATCTGGGAGAAAAGGACTTAGGGGGGAAAGCCCAACAGGGAAAGGGGGGAAAAGATCTTAGGAAGGAAAAGGGAGAATCTCTCAGGGGGGGGGGGGGAAAGGCCTTAGGGGGGAAAGGGGGAAAAGGATCTCAGCAGGGAAGGGGGGGGGGGGAAAGATCTTAGGGAGGAAAGGGGGAAGATCTGGGGACAAAGGCCTTAGGGGGGAAAGGGGGGAAATGATCTCCACAGGGAAAGGGGTGGAAAAGATCTTAGGGAGGAAAGGGAGAAGATCTGGGGGAAAAAAGGCCAACAGGGAAAGGGGGGAAAGATCTAAGGAAGGAAAAGGGAGAAGCTCTCAGGGGGGGAAAGGCCTTAGGCGGGAAAGGGTGGGAAGGATCTCAACAGGGAAAGGGGGGAAACAATCTTAGGAAGGAAAAGGGGGAAGATCTGGAAAGGCCTTGAAGGGAAGGGGGGAAAGGATCTCAACGGGGAAAGGGGGCAAAGGATCTTAAGGAGGAATAGGGAGAAGATCTCAGCGGGGGAAAGGCCTTAGGAAGGAAAGGAGGGAAAGGATTTCAACAGGGAAAGGGGGGGAAAGATCTCAGTGAGGAAAGGGAAAAGATCCCAGGCAGGGAAAAGGCCTTAGGGGGGAAAGGGGGAAAGGATCTCAACAGGGAAAGGGGGCAAAGGGTCTTAGGGAGGAAAAGGGAGAAGATCTGAAAAGGCCTTAAGGGGAAAAGGGGGAAAGGAGCTCAACAGGGAAAGGTGGGAGAAGATCCTAGGGAGGAAAAGGGAGAAGATCTCGGGGGGAAAGGGGGAAAGGATCTCAACCAAGGGAAAAGATCTTGGGGAGGACAAGGGAGAAGATCTCAGGGGGGGAAAGGCCTTCGGGGGGAAAGAGGGGAAAGGACCTCAACAAAAAAAGGCAAAGGATCTTAGAGAAGAAAAGGGAGAAGATCTTGGGGGGGAAAACGCCTTAGGGGGGAAAGGGCGGGAAAGGATCTCAACAAGGAAAGGGGGGAAAAGATCTTAGGAAGGAAAAGGGGGAAGATCGCGGGGGAAAAAAAGGCCTTAGGGGGGAAAGGAGGGAAAGGATCTCAACAGGGAGAGGGGGAAAAGACATCGTAGGGAGGAAAAGGGAAAAACTCAGAGGAAGAAAGGGCCTTCGGGGGGAAAGGGGGAATGGATCTCAACAGGGAAAGGTGGCAAAAGATCTTAGGGAGGAAAAGGGAGAAGATCTCGGGGGGGAAAGGCCTTAGGGGGGAAAGGGGGAAAAGGATCTCAGCAGGGAAAGGGAGAAATGATCTCAACAGGGAAAGGGGTGGAAAAGATCTTAAGGAGGAAAGGGAGAAGATCTGGGGGAAAAAAGGCCAACAGGGAAAGGGGGGAAAGATCTAAGGAAGCAAAAGGGAGAAGCTCTCAGGGTGGAAAAGGCCTCAGGGGGGAAAGGGTGGGAAGGATCTCAACAGGGAAAGGGGGGAAACAATCTTAATAAAAAAAAGGGGGGGGAAGATCTTAGGGAGGAAACGGAGAAGATCTGGGAGAAAAGGACTTAGGGGGGAAAGCCCAACAGGGAAAGGGGGGAAAAGATCTTAGGAAGGAAAAGGGGGGGGAAAGGTCTTGGGAGGGAAAGGGGGGAAAGGATCTCAACAGGGAAAGGGTGGGAAAGATCTTAAGGAGGAAAGGGGGGGAAGATCTTAGGGAGGAAAGGGAGACGATCTGGGAGAAAAGGACTTAGGGGGGAAAGCCCAACAGGCAGAGGGGGGAAAAGATCTTAGGAAGGAAAAGGGAGAATCTCTCAGGGGGGGGAAAGGCCTTAGGGGGGAAAGGGGGAAGGGATCTCAGCAGGGAAAGGGGGGGGGGGGAAAGATCTTAGGGAGGAAAGGGAGAAGATCTGGGGACAAAGGCCTTAGGAGAAATGATCTCAACAGGGAAAGGGGTGGAAAAGATCTTAGGGAGGAAAGGGAGAAGATCTGGGGGAAAAAAGGCCAACAGGGAAAGGGGGCAAAGGATCTTAGGGAGGAAAAGGGAGAAGCTCTCAGGGGGGAAAGGCCTTAGGCGGGAAAGGGTGGGAAGGATCTCAACAGGGAAAGGGGGGAAACAATCTTAGGAAGGAAAAGGGGGAAGCTCGCGGGGGGAAAAAAGGCCTTAGGGGGGAAAGGAGGGAAAGGATCTCAACAGGGAGAGGGGGGAAAACATCGTAGGGAGGAAAAGGGAAAAACTCAGAGGGAGAAAGGGTCTTAGGGGGGAAAGGGGGAATGGATCTCAACAGGGAAAGGTGGCAAAAGATCTTAGGGAGGAAAAGGGAGAAGATCTCAGGGGGGGAAAGGCCTTAGGGGGGAAAGGGGGGAAAGGATCTGAGCAGGGAAAGGGGGGGAAAGATCTTAGGGAGGAAAGGGAGAAGATCTGGGGGCAAAGGCCTTAGGGGGGAAAGGGGAGAAATGATCTCAACAGGGAAAGGGGTGGAAAAGATCTTAGGGAGGAAAGGGAGAAGATCTGGGGGAAAAAAGGCCAACAGGGAAAGGGGGGAAAGATCTAAGGAAGGAAAAGGGAGAAGCTCTCAGGGGGGGGAAAGGCCTGAGGGGGGAAAGGGTGGGAAGGATCTCAACAGGGAAAGGGGGGAAACAATCTTAGGAAGGAAAAGGGAGAAGATCTGGAAAGGCCTTAAAGGGAAGGGGGGAAAGGATCTCAACAGGGAAAGGGGGCAAAGGATCTTAAGGAGGAATAGGGAGAAGATCTCAGCGGGGGGAAAGGCCGTAGGGGGGAAAGGGGGGAAGGATCTCAACAGGGAAAGGGGGGGAAAGATCTCAGGGAGGAAAGGGAAAAGATCCCAGGGAGGAAAAGGCCGTAGGGGGGAAAGTGGGGGAAAGGGAGGAAAAGGGAGAATATCTCAGGGGGGAAAAGGCCTTAGGGGGGAAAGGGGGGAAAGGATCTCAACAGGGAGAGGGGGGAAAACATCTTAGGGAGGAAAAGGGAAAAATCAGAGGGAGAAAAGGCCTTAGGGCGGAAAGGGGGAATGGATCTCAACAAAGAAAGGGGGGCAAAAATCTCAGAGGGGAAGGGGGCAAGGGGACAATTCCAAAGGGACGCAAATAAGAAAGCAGGCCTGTAATGTCGGCGGCCTGAGCCGGAGGCGTTAAAATCATATTGTGAATTGGCACACTCCCACGTTTCATTCCGTCTCTGTATCCTGCGGCATGCTAAGGTGGCAGCTGTTGCGGCCAATTCCACGCTGCCTCAGTCACACTTGGCCGCTGTCAGGCACAGAAAAGTAAGTCTCTTGTGCAGAAGAATCACCCAAATCATTCTGTCCGAATCGCTCAAAGGCCTGCCACTTCTCTACTGCTCAGAGGTGATTTCTTGGCGTCCGGCTTTCTTCACTTCTTGCATCAGATCTCCACAAGGAGACAGGCCTTCGGAAAGACTGTGCCATGAAATCTGGATTGGCAGACATACTTCCCTCGTTCCAGTTTCGGTTCGGCCGGCACCTGTCAGACCTGTGGCATGATAGGTAGCGCTATCTGTGCCTGCACGCAACCGCCTTTCAACATGTCCGACCTCCTAGGATCTCACTCCGACTCACAGGGTGAGAGTCAAGCAACCGTGCAGCCTTCCACACAGGAACGCTCCAGAGAAGGACAGCAAGGGAAGGACAAGCGCGGACCTTAGAAGGCGTGTGGGCTGCCTTGCCTCCGCAAACAGTGAATTGAGTCCTTCTGTCATTGCATCAACAGTATTCGGCGTTTTCAAGCTCCAAGCGCGGTTTGGACCTGTTAAACCAGGATATGCCGCGACGTATGCCAGAGACTTTCACTGCGACCCTACTTCACCTCCGCACTCAGCCCAGCACCAAGCGAGCAGTCCAGGAGCCTTAAATCTTGGATTCAAATCCATTTGGGCGTTCCAAAAAGAAGGGATCGCCGGAAATGGCAGGCTTCCTTTGGGCGCGTGTTGAAAAATCGCAAAAGGAGTTGCTAATTTTGGCACATCAAGTTTCTCTAGCAAATCCACAGAGTGATTGAGGCCCTCGCACGTCTTCTGGCCCTCTGGGCCAACCTCCACGCTGAGTTCTTGCAACCAACTTCGGCCAACACATCCAGTTTTTCTTGGATGGCGTTTGAAGCGGAAACCAAACGGAAAACGGCCAAGTTTCGGGGCTTGAACTCATGGAAGCATGCGTACGCGAAAAAGCTGAAAGGCAAACAGGGACCTACGAACAGTCGCCCCTGAAACTGCTTCCCCCCCCGCGATTCCTTCCATTTGGGGTGTCCGGTGCCTTTATTGTGAAGGGAAACAAAGAGACACCGCCCTGCTTTGGTTCCGACACCAACCTCCCTGTTCGGGTGTTTCCGGGCAGCCGCACCTGCGCGCGGACATCACCATGGAGCGCGCGCCAGCCTGGCCCACGCTGAGTCACTGAACATGTTGGAAAACGGTTGTATGGGGAAGAATGGGAGCTTTCACAGACAAATTTGCCAAGTTGTTTGGGCGGGCCAGGGCGTTAATTACCAACCACCCCACATCTGCCTGTTGAATGTGCTTTTTTTCGTGCCATTCTTGAAGTGCAGAAATTATTGGCACCCTTTCTTGTTTAAGCACATCTACCGGTGAGGAGATTAGTGAGTCCGCCCTGTCCTGCCCATGGACTACTTGTTATTTTGACCGAACCTCATATCCTGTTGAAAAACAGTGGGGCTCAAATACGGCTCATGTCTCAAAATCAAGCATCCCGTGTCCCCAATTAGGGTTTGTTGATCAAAAACAAAGAGGAAACAAATCACCCAACCTCAATTTGAGACACGGCCACATCGCATCGCAGTGCTCGGCTTTCCTGATTCACCGAGCCGTGTTTTGAGCCCAACTGCTGGCACCTCACATTGCTCCTGGTAAGTGTCTCTGCTCCGCACTCGCTGAGTCAACTAGTTCTTCGAGTGGGAGCTTACACCCTTCTGATAGATATCACGGAGACAGCTGGGCACACTTCACAGAACGCCTGAAATGAGAGAATGGAAAAATGAGTAGCCTGCTCTGATTCGCTCCTCTACTCACTCGCCTGCCGGGGCTCGCCAGGTCTGCAAACGATGGCAGGAAAAGTGGCACTTGAGCCAAGCGGACCATCGGAACAAGGGGATGCGAAGAGGCACAAGGCGCGCATCGAGCATGGAGCCACAACATTTTTGCTGAGCGTACTGTAAGTCTTTAAAGGACTTCCCTGGCTGCTGGCCAAACTTCAAATCATCGTCTCTGGCCTCGCGACAGCACAACTGCCACGGATTGAACAACTCAGTACTCGGTCCTTTCAGACAGCCACGTCTGGATGCCTTTGTTCTTCTCCACCTTGCTGACGATAGCCTGTGTTTCCAGCCGCTGCGAGGATTGGGACCCCTAGGTTGACTGCCTTCAACTTTGGGCATTCGCCATATGCAGCGGACACATCAGCATCATAAGTGTCCTCACGAGGCTTAAAGCCAGGCATTCAAGATTTGCTCAAAGATAAGTCCTTCAAGAGCTTGAAAATTGCAATGTCGGCCAGCGAAACCTGGACGATCAGTCATTGGCGGAGAGCTAGTTCACTGCAAGTTCTAAAATGCACCCATACTGATGACACGTAGTGACTCGTGCGGCAAGCGGCAGTATCAAAGTGGCAACGGAGGCTGAAGCTGAACATGCTGAACAAGAATATTCACGCTTCTTACAGCAAAGTTGATTTGCATGGGGAGGCCACACGTGACAATCAAACAGAATATGACAGGTCCTTGTTTTGGACAGCTCCAAAGCGAGCCATCGGCGAAAGTCGTTTTGTCTCGGATCGCCTTCTCGCCAACCGCAAAGCCGTCGCTGCCGGGCAGCGCCGTCTCCAATTTACTCAACAGCAGCGGCAGCTCCTTGTGCAAAGCAGCGAATTGCATGGGGTGGGAGCTTCTTAAAGCAAAGAAAAAGAAAGACAACCATTGGGGTTCAGTTCCTAGGAAGCCGCATGTGGACTCGCCTGAAGGGTGTTTTGTGCTTCCAGGACGACCCGCTGCTGGCGGGATTGACTCCCCTGAATAGGAACCACATTGTGTCAGCAAATTTACATGGCCTCTAGCAGGTGCTTTCCGGCTTCAATGTCAACGTGCAAAACTCGAAAACTCTCAAGAAACTGGACAGTGAGCAGAATCCCTGTGGAGTCACTCGACCATTTGGCTTCTGCGGTGCCTCCTCGTACCACTTCTTTTGTAGCTCCTTCGGTCAGAGTCATGGAATCATCGCTGTGAGCACATCGAGCCAATTTTTCAAGCGAGGTGCTGCCTTCTTTTCCTGGTCCTTCATGAAAAACAAACCCTTTCTGGAATACGCCTGAGAAGCTCAGCATTTGAAGCACCATGAGTTACAACCCGAGTCCGAAAGGGTGTGCTCCAACACATGTGCTGCACTCGCGTGGATCAAGGGCGTGGCATCATTGATGTCGCGTACGTGCTCGGCCATGGCATCGACTAGGGCCTGGCGCTGGTCATTTCGGCATGATTTTATAATTGGAACACTGTCAATAGTCGATGGACGTAAATGCCCCGGTCGATGAAGTCCACCAAAGGGTTCCTAATCAAAATTATTGAAGGTTCATATCCATTTTGAGGAGTGTGCTCGCATACCCGTAGATGACAAACACAATCGGAGCAGCTGGCATGCGATGTCTACGATAGGGAAAGTGACCCAGTCATTGCCCTGTGGACATGAGCACCGTGCCTCCTCCATTGGAGTTGAACCCATCATACCAAGTTCCCGAGCCTGACTCATATTGGTGTCGACAAACCGTCGTGACAACAGTCAGGACGGAGTGAAACATGTGCTAAGCAAGCTGGGCGAAACTGCGTTGCCCACAATCCATGAAGTCTCTCTTGGAAGCCACACACAACACGCCTGATTCTCTCACCTAGGAAGTCCTTCAGAAGTACCTACCCTCTGAAGTCCTTGCAGAAGGCGTCTCGTTCTCGTCTTCTAAATTCGATGGGCTGCTTCAAGCCCAAGGCCAAGCCTAAGGCCGCGCTGAGTTCAAGGCCAAGTATCGCTCGATTGCCTTGCTTTGAGGCAGGGAGAAGCCGTCCACGTCCAGTACGGGAACCTGCCAATGCACCAAAGGAATTACATTTAGCCAGTTTCTTTTCGGGAATAGTTGCTTCGTGTCGGATCTCAAAATTTTGGTTGTAGCATTTGTCGCAACTCACAGAATTGGAGCCAAACACATACTTGACCATCGGCCTAGTTTGCAGACTTATGCTAATTGGGATCCCACCCCCTGGGTGCTCTTTCATGTAGTGGAACAGCTAGCGCCTTGCCCATGGAGATGTCCATTTTCCCGGCGTCGCGGTCCTCCTCAAACTCCTGGCCGATCGCTCCAAGGTGCAGCTTGCACTTGCGGGTCGCTTGTGCGGCGTGCTTGTCTACCAGCAATCCCTCTGACCCCTCTTAGACTCTGGTCGTGGGAGATACTCCACAGGATGGCAAAGGCTGTCCCGCTTAAGCTTGTCAGACGGAACTCTTGGCGGCCCTGTTTCTTCAACATTGGCCGGTGCAGATCTGTACAATCCCCTCATCAAGGGATGGCACTGCAAAGGCACTGGGACACGTTAATCATCCGCTCATCCCACTTTCGGAGAGGCGGGCAGCCACCTCGCCGAGGAACTCTTCATGCCTGCAGAGTGGGCAGAAGGCCCGGCCGTGCATCAGCTGCGACCAGGTCTCCCAGCACTCCTTGCAAACCTTGTGGCAGCAGCCCAAGGTGGCAGCTGCATGCTCACCTTCTGCTTCGAAGGGTTCCAGGCAAACCGGACACTCCTGCTGGTCGTTCTTCGCCAGGAACTCCAGCTTCTTCTGAAAATCCTCTAAAATGCGTGCCTTAGCTCCAAGAGAAAGCAAGGACGACAAGCACAAACTTCGCAGTGCGCTCAAACAGTCTTAACTCCTAGCTGCCATGCTGACGTTGTTCCTTTCGGCCTGCTTCATCATGTGGAAGACAAACCACTCCCGGGCCTCATCGGGGATGCCCATAGCCTCTGTGGAGTCAATGCCTTTCACCCGTTTGCCCATGTCCTCGCTTTCAGTTCACGCCACCAAAACACCACAAACGAAAGGTGAGCCGCTTGGGACGTACAACACCAGAAGACCAAAAGCTCAAAAGGGTGGTGCGCTTGGGACAGGTGTCAGCTGCCACTGACTCTGGCACCGTGGAGCAGGTCTCCTCGTGAAACGTCATCAGGGTGCCGCGCATCTCAGGGTCGCAACTCAACTCGTCCGCTGGCCCGCCGATGGGGGAAACCAAATATCAAAATTGAGGAAAGCGCGAGGAGGGACACATCAAAACAGCCATTGAAGCCGCCCCGGTTGCACTCGTTACATCTCATTGCACGTGCAGTGACACTCGACAATCTCAAAGCGGGCTCCTACCTGGTTCCCTGTTTGCTCAGAACACACCACTTCCCCGGCCTGCTCCACCTCTTGCGCGTAACCCTCCTCGGCTGCTTAGCCAAACAAGGCCCAACAGCTTCATCTTTCCGACCCAGATTGAATCGGCCCCGCTTGCTGCATCCATTAAAAGGGCGGGGAAAAAAGTTCAAGGGAGCAGACAATGTTCAGACTGCTCCCCAAAAGGAATGCAAAGGACGTGTGAATTTGGCGGGCCTCTAGGTGTTCAATGTGGGATTTGGTGCGATCCAGGCTTGCTTTCTGCAAAAAGAAACCAAACTACCTTTTGGTTTTGCCTTGCGTCCGGCAAAAGCGCATGCCACCGGCAGATTGTCCGCATGACCGCCCGAAGACACAAGGAAAAGCAAAGGAGCTGCAATCTCAAGGCGCGTGCGCGACGCAAATTGCACAACTCCAGGAGCAACAGACCGGACTTGATGCTTGTCCTACGCCCATGATTGCGCATTTCGAGTCGTGGCGAGCTTCTCCCCCATTATTGTAGCTTTGTGAGAGCTTCAGGGTGAAAGGGTTGTCACGACATGTCATCTGACTTTGACAACTTTGTAGGCATCATGCCCACGATGCAGACCACCATGTTCAGCCTGTCCTTCGCATGTTCATGCACTATGATCAGGCATGGTCCGTCATGGCAATCCCGAAATCAATGGAAACCGCACCGCTGGAAGGTCTCGGGCCACAAGTGCTGAGAATAGACTACCAAGTACTACCAAGTACCAAGAACATTGTCAGCTGCTGTCAGTCAAGTGTCGTACAGCATAAACTTCGCTGCACACTCGTTCGCATCGGCTGGCTCCGAGCGTAGCTGTGCCAGCAGCGCATCTACTCCTGATGACAATGTGACAAGCAGCTTCAAAAACATTGCCCCAACCCAAGAGCCGTGCACAAATGCGCTTTGTGAATTGAGGTGCGTGCACATGTTGGAGACTTTCACAAGCCATACCGGCAAAAGGTCAAAATACTGCCATGGGCCATGGACTTTAGAAGACAGAACAAAAACTGAACCCTGGCCTCCAGACGATGGGCGAGCACCGTCTTCAAGGCCCTCATTGCCCAGGGCACTCAGAGCTACCACGTCAGCGCCCATGAGATCCGCCGCTTCGGCCATAGCACCGTCCTCCTCATCATCCAGAACCTCCGGAGCCCTTGGCGCTTCCATCTGCTCGTAGAACTCGCTCACGTGCCTGGTGGAGTGCTCTTGTGCCGACTTCCACCTGGCCTGGACGGCCATGTGCTCTGACGCGGGCGCGGAAGACATCTGCCTCAAGCCCTCTGCTGCAAGCGCCCTAGAAAGGATCGAATGGTTCTTCGCGGCTTTGCACTTGCGAGACTGCCGCTCGTGGTCGCGCGCAGACTCGATGCGCTTCTTTGCAGCCTCCCACTCCTCGGGGTTTCGCTTCATCTGCGCCTCGTGCACGCGCCTTGCCCACTCAGCGCACATCTCGGAACTTCGGGGAGCCATGGTCTTGGACATCTGGCCTACGCGCCTATGCGCCTATGCCCTATGCTCCTATGCTTCTGCAGAGCACGCTTGGTCCAGCAGCTTGTCAGAGCACAATTTGATCCAAGCAAAAAGCCAGCACCTGCCAATCATGAGGTCATGCTGACAAGAACTGGCTTCTTCTGTGGGGCTGTGAGAAGCACGCAGCGTGTGCTTGCGGGGATGATTCCAACCCCAATCTTGTGCGGGGCGGCCTTTGACATTCCCTGTTTTTGGAAGCTTCGATGGTAAGAGGGCTTCACAGACCTCATCTCCAAGCTCCTCATGGGCAAAGACACAACGCAGCCCTTGCCTTCCGGATGATCGTTGAGAAGTCGCCCGGCGTCCCGAATGAAATAGGATAGCGCAGATCCTGCAATTGATCATGTCAAACTAGTTGTTCGATATTTTGCAAACTTAAACAATAACCAAGAAAGTTGTTGCAAAGGAAGGACCTGTGCAGATACGTAACAGCCTTCCAATCCCATGCGCTGGATGGCCTTGTACTCTTTGCCGGCAGCTGCAAACAGCAAGCGTACTGTCCTCATTGACAATGGCATGGAGGGGGCATGAGTGCATGTTGCAACGAGCTGCGCTGTCTTGCGTTTGGGTGCTGTGCTCCGATCATTTGCCGGCGCCTTTCGCCCTGAAACACTGACAATGAGTTGCATCAGTTCACTCGGGTTCTCGGAAAATAATCTTCCCTGGTGGCCGAGCACGCGCTCCCCAAAAAAGCTTTCCCACGTTCAAGCCATGCTGCAACCTGGTATGCCCGGTGCACGCAGAAGGGCAACCCGTTGCAACTTCCCGAATTTCCTTTCCGAGCGGCTCCGCAGCACCGCGGGCATCGAAGTATCGCAGAGTCAAACCTTCACGATTGGGCTTGCTTTTGCACCTGTGACTCACTTGTAGGGACAACCATTCTATCACTCCTCGCCGCCAGTTTTTCAGGGAGTCTGCCCTCACCACGTCAGTGCTGAGATGAGTACCAGCATTGCGCGGAATACCGGACTGCCGCGCACGATGCTGAAGGCCAACAAAGTCTTTCAGTTCCTGGTGGCGACATACCCCTCTCCCTTTCAGATGTCCCTGTGCACGAAATAAATAGCTTCACATTATTTCGTGAGCGATCTCACTTGAAAATCACAGCTTGGCCTGAACAAAGCCATGTTCAAAGAATCCAATGGGTGCCTACACTGATAGATTCATGATCTATCATGGCCCCTCCCCAAAAATTATCGAACATCTTTCCAAACACCTAGCGCGAGGCCTGCCAGGGCAACAGCACTGCTGCCACCAGTAGCAGCCCAAGCCTCTCATGCTATGCGCACCCCCCTGCTTCTTGAAAATTGCTGGATATAGATGTCTCCAAATGGGGGAACCTCCAGCTCTGGTGTTCCACTTTGATTCTGCATTCACTTTGATCTGACCTCAAGAAGGTTGCCCTCACAAAGAGCAGCGGCCACATCTCGGTCACACTTTTCAAACCATTGATGATGCAACACAAGCCCTCTTTCTTAACACTACTCATCTATCTCACTTGAATTCGCTTCGCTCCTCATGTTGCTCCTGTAGAACTGTGAGCCCAAGTGCCAGGCCTTCTGCTCCGCATGTCAAGCGCTTGCCTTTTCTAAAAGGTCTGTTCAATCCCTTGAGCCCGAATGACATAGTCCAACAGCTTCAACTCGCTCATAGCATCAGTGTGCACGCAAGCACGATTCGCCAGGCTGCAGCAAAAGCACTAGCCCCTTTTTGGCAAAATGAGCAAAATACAGCGCTCAGGTGGCCGGGTTGTGGTTTGGAACAAGTTTCCACTGTCCGCCAACTGTGCCTGGATAGACAGCACGAGCCTCTTAAGCTCCCGCTGCGAGCCAAACAGTTGTTCAGGCACAACCTGTACGAAGGTGCACCACTCCGCGAGAGCTGAGCGTCAAAGTGAGGCCATGCGCAGGCATCGCGCACAAGTCTCAAGCTCAGCACACTTCGCTTGTGGAAAACGGGATGCACGAAGAGCTCTGTCGACGCCTCTTGGCACTCTGCGACATTAACAGACAAAAATATGGAAGTTTCCTCAGACATGCGCGGCCTCCATGCAGGATCGGGAGACATTTCAGTTCAAGGCAAGGAACATCAAGCGGCAAACCACACACCTCTGTGAATGTACCTCGAGATCAGATATTGAACTGAACAAATTGAATGTGAGGCAAGCCGCCTCATGCAGTTCCTCCAGTTCCGGCTCCAACCAGAGACTTGACACGACTCTTCACCTGAAGACCCACAAGGCACCAACCAGCAGGCCGGCTTCTTGCATTTTGGTCAGGCCTGCTCAGCCGAGTCCATGCCCTTCTTGTGCAGGTAACTGGCTGACCTCAGCCCAAACAGGTTCTTCCAACACAGCGGGGTCCAAAAAACTGTGTGGTCTCCTTTGGCTTCTTTAACGAACTCCCAACACCATCAAGGAGCCCGCGCTTCTGGACGCCTCTTTGGCGTGGCGAGCCTTGCTGAGTCTCGAAGGGCCCGCACTTTTGGATCTCCTCGCGGTAGGTGAAGCCGGCAAAGCCCACTGCGCCACCTCGCCCAAAGCGGGAGTGTGCGACTTGCGAATTCGACATTGGAATCTGCTCTCTTGACTTTGATAAAACAGAAGCACTGTCGGCCTTCCAGAGCGGACCACTCCGAGCACCGGACCGCCCACAGCACCGGCTCCTCCTGCAGTAGTCGCCCCTGCCACCAGTCCGATGGTGGCACCCACCGGGATGGACAGACCGAAAGTGAAGATGGCTGGCACCTCGCTCCGTCCCAGCCCAGAACGCAAAGCCAGGTGGCTGTTCGGTTCCCCCGTGGTCGGAAATCAAAAGCCATCCCGAAAAAATGGGACTTTGAAACCCAACGGAAACTGAAAAGCCACCTGAAGAGGGGGCTCCAGCGTCTGGCCGATCATCCGAGCTTCAGGCCATGCCGACGGCTCCTCCTGCCAGCGCACCACAGGCGCCGCCGGTGGCCGTGCCCACTGCTCCACCCAGCAGGGCAGAGACAGAGGAGACACCAGTGCGAGTGCTGGTGGCGTAGGTGAACGCGTCACCAGCCTATGAAATGCAGAAATCAAGCGCGACCCTGAAGCAGCTTTGCAACAAGCACGCCTTGACACAGCGTGGTGCAAACTTCTTGCATGTTTGGGCGTGTTTGGGTTGGATCCGATGGCAACGCTAACTACTTCCGGGACGAAATCGAGGATATGCGAATCTCGCCTTGGCCTTCACCAGCTTCACTGCCTCTGTCGACTTCTCCTCAATGGGTGGAACATTGTGGAACATGTGGTTGGGTCTCGGAGTGGCGAAAGTGTCTGAAGTACTTCCATCATGGCTCCAAACCTGGAAAGCCGCAAAACTGGAGGGGGACCTTACTCTAGGATTTGGCAAGTTTGGCAAGTGTCCTTGGCCAGAGCGACAGTCACGTTTGCCTGGCGTCGAAGCGTGGACTTGGTTGACACGGGGTGTCCTCAGACAGAATCTTTAGAGGAAACACAGCCGGAAATGTTCACCACCTGGCTCATGCAAAACGCCGGGCACATGCTCCGCCTTCTCTCGAGCTTGGGCCGCCGTCGACTCAATCGCCAGCTTGGTGCGGGAGGCGGTGCCTGGCACACGGAGCCATGTGGAGTCCTGGTCTCAATAGGTTTGAGGGGCTTCCTCTTTGGGGTCCTTTGGGTTGACCCGCTTTCAGGGATCCAGAACGGATCCCTAGCTTTCCTTCTTGCAGGTCATACTGGAAGCTTCGACCCATGGGCTTAAGGATGTGTTCTCAGGACTCCTGCCAGATCCAAGCAGAACGCACGAATTTCACTTGCTAATTCTAGCCACTTTGTCTAGCCCATCTTAATGTCTCGCCCAAGTTAGATGCGCCTTTGGCTTTGTCGCGGCCAGCTTCAAAGGCATTCAGGGCCTCTGTACAGCTGCGCACAGATCAGGCATGTGCACGGAGGCTTGCTGCGCCTTGACCTTGACTTGAATGACCCCATCCTTGATCTGCACCTCGTGGCAGAGTCGCCAACAACCGTTGTAGCCTGTTTTGAAAGGATTGAGGACAAACAATTGTTCACAGTGCCAGTGACTCTTCGTTTCTGGCTCACGTGAATGCAAGTCCAACTCACATACGAGTAAACCCCGTGGTAGCTTGTATCCAATGTTGTCCCTATCCGTCGCTTGAGCCCGGTGCTCGGTACTTATAGAGGCAGAAGCCCCCGGCACCACCAGCGGTACTGCCGGCGGTGGTGCCAATCAGGAGGCCTGCAGAGGGCACGTGATGCAGCGGGAAGAAGACGCTTGTTTGTGTGTTTCTTTTGTTCTTTCGTATAGGACTCCACGTTGCTCAAGTGCTTCCCTCCTTCATTCTGGCTTTTTAGAATTAAACTCACCCCCTCAGAGTAAGGGGAAACAACCCGAGTTTCTGGTTATGGCCCCAGAGCCGTGAAACAAAATGACACGCCTCCGGCTTCCCCCGAAATCCCACCTGCGGCCCCGCCGCAGATGGCGCCCGCTGGAATGGACAGGCCGAACCTGAGCGCGTCCGAATGACAATGGGTTTAAAGCTGTGTAGATGGCAAGGTGCCTTGAATGTGGGAGTGTTTCCTCTAGAAGTCCTGTCAAAGCCGCAATGCTTTGCCCAAGCATTATTCTTCTGAGGGGTGCCTCAGTTTGGTTCTGCATTGTCAGTATCAGCGCCTCTGCACAGCACTGGCTGCATCCCCAGCATCACCGAGACTCGGTTTTGAGCTCGGATGTACTTGTGGGACCCTCGCTGCATCACCAGCATTCAGAGGTGAAACCGGAAGCCCGCCACTTCATGTGGGTGCTCGCCACATGGCGCATGGCCAGCATGGGGGGTGCTGAGACCGGATGTGCGTTGACTTGAAACACAAATCATCCAAAAAAGCACACGATCGCCATGAAAACTGTGTTGGAAATCCCTCAACCAAAAATAGATGTAATGACGAAGGTTGATGTTTCTACTACCACATTAACCATAGATTTCAGGATCGGGACGCAAGTAATGTTGGCTCTAAAGTTTGCAGCTTGACTTTGTTTATGAGAAGCGAAGAAAGGTAAGCTGTCCTGTTTTAGGGTTCGGATGTGGGGGAACATTTGGGATCCCTCTCCCTGCTTCACGGCCCTGGGCAACATTGTGCCTTGGCAAAGCCACTTTGAAATGAGCTTTGCTCTGCAGTCTGGCTCCCTGCCGAGCCCAGAAAGTATTTGGGACGTCAAGGCCAAAACGACTCATGACGTGGCTTGTCTCAAGATGGGTATGGGTCAAAATTAAACACCAGGGACCGCTGGCTTTAGTCCATGTTTCCATTTACCATGGTTCCATTGTGGGTACCTATTTTTGACCCTCAGCCAAATGTGCGGGGTCCCCGAAACGGAGGCCTTGGGGCGCCGGGCGTGGCCAGGGCCGGCGCCACCCCGGCCGCGGAGCCCAGCACCACGCCGGTGGCAATGCCAAAGGCGCCCCCGCAGGCGCCGAGGACGATGACCTCCAGTCTATCTACATACATATATATATACACACATTATATACAAATATATATATATATATACCCAGAGGCTCGTGGGCCCTCCTAGGGAGGGTCCGGGGCCCTATTAGGGAGGGACCGGCCTGTTTGTCGGATACGGGGCCCTCGTGGGCCCCCAGTGCAATCCGGACGGGATCAATGGATCGCTGATCGACCAAAATGGCCTCGAACCACACCTCCCCTATCCGACGGCTATCCGACGGCTATCCGACGGCTATCCGACGGTTATCCGACGGTTATCCGATGGTTATCCGACGGTATCCGACGCCGGGCCCTCGTAGACCCTCAGTTTTGGGGGCCCCGGCCCAATTATCCGACGGTTATCCGACGGCTATCCGACGGCCATCCGACGGTTATCCGATGGCTATCCGACGGCCATCCGACGGTTATCCGACGGTTATCCGATGGTAATCCGAAGCTTGTTTGCAGCCCAAAGGCCCCCAACAGAAAACCAGCCCGAAACCTCCTACGACCGCGAGGGCCCGCGAGGGCCCAAGGGCCCGAAACATGAGTTCGGAGCGTCTAGGAGTAGAGTTTCTATTTTGTTTTTTGTGTGTGGCTGCCATGCTTTTTGTGCAGTTGGATTTTTTCTAGGCCTGTCACTGGCCTGCTTGGTCGGGCTGCTGATTCTCTTGAAGTGGGATGTTTGTAGTAGGGCTGTGTGGATGTCGCTTTCTTGGCGCAATTGCTTTTCTTCAGGGCCTGTCGCTGGCCTGCTTGGTCCGGCTGCTGCTTTTCGTGAAGCAATATTTTTCCGAAGGGCTTCTAGTTTGCTTGTTCTGTGCTGCCGTTTTTTTTGGTTGTTGCGCAGTTGGTTCTTTTCAAGGCCTGTCACTGGCTTGCTTGGTCTGCCTGCTGCTTTTCGTGAAGTGTTTTGTTTCCATTGGGTTTCTTTGTGGCTGCCGCTTTGTTTCTCAGTTGGGTTTTTCTTCAGGGCCTGTCACTGGCCTGCTTGGTCGGCCTGCTGCTTTTCGTGATTTTTTTCAGTATAGAGATTGTTGTTTTTTGCTTGCTGTCTGTGGCTGCCGTTTTTTGGTGAAGTTGGACTTGTTTCAGGGCCTGGCACTGGCCTGCTCGGTCGGGCTGGTGATTTTAGCGAAGTGGGATTTGTTGTAGGGCTTCGAATTTGTTTGTTGTGTTTGAATGCCACTTTTTTGGTGCAGTTGGACTTTGTTCAGGGCCTGTCACTGGCCTGCTTGGTCGGCCTGCTGCTTTTTGTGAAGTGGGATTTTTCCCGAGAGCTTCTAATTTGCTTGTTGTGTGTGGCTGCCATGTTTTTTGTGCAGTTGGATTTTTGCTCAGGGCCTGTCACTGGCCTGCTTGCTTGGGCAGCTGCTTTTCGTGAAGTTGGATTTATTTCGTAGAGCTTCCAATTTGCTTGTTGTGCGTGGCTGCCATGCTTTTTGTGCATGCTGTCACTGGCCTGCTTAGTCAGGCTGCTAATTTCGTGAAGTGGGATTTTTGTAGTAGGGCTTCTAATTTGTTTTTTTGTGTGTGGGTGCCGCTTTTTTGGTGCAGTTGTTTTTGTTTCAGGGCCTGTCGCTGTCCTGCTTGGTCGGGCTGCTGCTTTTCGCGGTCTTGTTTTTTTAGTAAAGCTGCTGCTTTGTTTGTTGTGTGTGGCTGCCATTTTTTGTTATTGCGCAGTTGGCTTTTGCTCAGGGCCTGTCACTGGCCTGCCTGGTCTGCTGTTTTTCGTAAAGTTGGGTTTTTTGATTTTTTAAGTAAGAGTTGCTAATTGCTTGTTGTCCGCGGCGGCCGTTTTTTTGTTCAGGGTCTGTCGCTGGCCTGCTTGGTTGGGCTGCTGCTTTTCGCAATGTGTTGTTTTTTCCTGGTTTCTAATTTGGTTGTTGTCTTTGCCTGCCTGTTTTCTGCAGATGTTGTTGGCAATCTTGCTTGCGAAGAGCTGTTGCCTCACGCAGGGCGGTGGGCGGTGGGCTGGACATGCGGGTCATCAGGCGGGCCACGCAGGCCACAGCCGGACCAAGCAGGCCAGCGACAGGCCCTGAAGAAAAGCAATTGCGCCAAGAAAGCGACATCCACACAGCCCTACTACAAACATCCCACTTCAAGAGAATCAGCAGCCCGACCAAGCAGGCCAGTGACAGGCCTAGAAAAAATCCAACTGCACAAAAAGCATGGCAGCCACACACAAAAAACAAAATAGAAACTCTACTCCTAGACGCTCCGAACTCATGTTTCGGGCCCTTGGGCCCTCGCGGGCCCTCGCGGTCGTAGGAGGTTTCGGGCTGGTTTTCTGTTGGGGGCCTTTGGGCTGCAAACAAGCTTCGGATTACCATCGGATAACCGTCGGATAACCGTCGGATGGCCGTCGGATAGCCATCGGATAACCGTCGGATGGCCGTCGGATAGCCGTCGGATAACCGTCGGATAATTGGGCCGGGGCCCCCAAAACTGAGGGTCTACGAGGGCCCGGCGTCGGATACCGTCGGATAACCATCGGATAACCGTCGGATAACCGTCGGATAGCCGTCGGATAGCCGTCGGATAGCCGTCGGATAGGGGAGGTGTGGTTCGAGGCCATTTTGGTCGATCAGCGATCCATTGATCCCGTCCGGATTGCGCTAGGGGCCCACAAGGCCCCGTATCCGACAAACAGGCGGGTCCTTTCAGGAGGGAGGGCCCCGGACCCTCCCTAGGAAACCCCACTTCATGCAAAGCAGGAGCCCAACCAAGGTGTAAAGAAACATCACTTTTGGGACCTGGGATTTTGAAGTTTTGAATTGTTTGAACTCTCCAAGTACAGAAACATCACGTTGGGGGCCCAGGATTTTGAACTTTTTGAATTCCCCAAGTCAAGAAACATCACTGTGGGGTTTGAACTTTTTGAACTTCCCAAGTAAAGAAACATCACTTTCGGGACCCGGGATTTTGAACTCCCCAAGTAAAGAAACACCCGGCGGAACATCACTTTCGGGGCCCGGGATTTTGAACTCCCCAACTAAAGAAACACCCGGCGGAACATCGCTTTCGGGACCCGGGATTTTGAACTTTTTGAACTCCCCAAGTAATGACACATCGCATCACTTTAGGGGGCCCGGGATTTTCAGTGTTGGTCTCAACCCGGGTTTTGACCTTTTTGTCGGTCTTTCAATCTCCCCAGCCCAGGAACTCAGATTCGAGGGGCCCTGGATGTTGACCTAGTTGGTTTCTTCCAAAATTCGCAAGTAAAGAAGCATGAATTGAGCGACCCAACTTGCGTAACTTCTACCAACCCAAACTAAATGAAACAAGCGGCCCCTCCAAACAACCAACCCAAACTCAATGAAACAAGCGGCCCCTCCAAACCAGCAACCAAACCTAATAGAAAACCGGCCCCTCCAAACCACCAACCCAAACTACAGTAAATGGAAAAGCGGCCCCCTCCAAACCACAAACACAAATTAAATGAAACTAGAACCATCAACCCAAACTGATTGGAAAAAAACCGCCCAACCAAGCCAGCAACCCAAACTAATGGAAAAAACGGCCCCCTCCAAACTACCAACCCAAACCAAATAGAAAAAACAGCCCCTCCACGCAACCAACCGAAACTAAATGAAACAAGCGGCCCCTCCAAACCAGCAACCCAAACTAAATTAAAAAAGCGGCCCCTCCAAACTACCAACCCAAACTAAATGAAACAGACGGCCCCTCCAAACTCCAAACCAGCAACCCAAACTAAATGGAAAAAACAGCCCCCTCCAAACTACCAACCCAAACATAATGTCAAAAACGGCCTCTCCAAACCAGCAAATGGAAAAGCGGACCCCTCCGACCAAACCACCAACGAAAATTCAGTGAAACTAGAACCACCAAGCAAAAGTAAATACAACAAGCGGCCCCTCCACACAAACAACCCAAAAACTAAATGAAACAAGCGGCCCCTCCAAACCAGCAACCCAAACCAAATGAAAACAGCGGCCCCCTCCAAACTACCAACCCAAACTAAATGAAACAATTGCCCCCTCCAAACCAGCAACCCAAAACGAATGCAAAACCGGCCCTCCAAACCACCAACCCAAACTAGATGGAAAAGCGGGTTACATGAAACTAGAATTATCAGCCCAAACTAAATGGAAAACGCGGCCCCTCCAAACCTCTTCTTTGCAAAGCCAGGCCTTCCCCGTTATTTGTGTTACGCTTGTGGGTTCTCAGACGCGCATTTTATTGTACCAGGTCCACATTGTATTGCGCCAGGATGATGCCATTGTTCGGGTTATGATAATACATGGCTATGGTTTTTAAGGGGCATGCAAAGCCCGACGCGGCGCGAACCTTGGTACGGAGGTATGTAACGGGGGCTCTTGTAACTCTGTAGCGAGAGAACAGTGCATGACACTTCCACAACTCCAGCTCGAAAGTTGCATTTGTTGATTCACCCGGCTGCAACGTTTCTTCTGCTGAAGGGCAAGCTCTTTGCAAGTTATTTACATCAATTCTGCTGTTTTAACTGTGTGCTGTTATCTTATTTTGTATTTGTTGTCTTATCTATTTGTTTGATTTATTTGTTATTTTTATCTGTCTTTATCTCTTCCCAGTAAAAGAAACAGTAGATAATTACTAAGTTCAGATTAAGTGTCCGGTATCTAGACTATCTATTTGCTTTCTCTAATCTGCGCTATGTTGCCACGAGCCTTAGCCCCCCCCCCCAAACCAGCCCGAGGGCCCGCGAGGGCCCGCGAGGGCCCGCGAGGGCCCGAGGGCCCGAAACATGAGTTGGGAGCGTCTGGGTATATATATATATATATATATTTGTATAAATATGAAGCAAGCACAACATACGAATGGATCCCCCCGAAAAGAAAGACGCACCTACAACGCCCCCCCCCCAAAAGGACAAACAAAAATTACTTTGCTTCGAGCAATCCCCACCCTCCACACGCACGAGACTACGACCGTGAACACGGTTGTGTGAATCCAAGCATGGTTTTCGAGTGGCTTGGGGCCTATGACTGCTCAAC